CAGAGCCGTCTCAGCGAAGGAGGCCGACGAGTTCTGGAGTGATCAAGCGTGTCTCGCCTCGGACGTGACGAGAGGGTGAGGGAAGGAGCCCCCCCCCCCCCCCCAAGGTAGGCGGCAGGCAGTGGCAGCAGCGGCGGGATAGAAGGGAAGTGTCTCGGGAAGAAAGTGTCTCGGAAGGAAGTGTCTCGGAAGGTTCACCGGCAGAGCCGAGGAATCAATCGAGAGGACGTCGCCTTCGACGGCGTAGGCGCCGCCGCCGGGCGTGAGCTCGACGCCGTCCACCGCCAGCGAGACGAGCTCGAGGTCCTCGCCTACAGACGCCCGAGGACGGCTCCGCGAGGACGGCTGTCGGAAGATTCCGCGAAGGTTCCGGGAAGCGTGGCCGCCGTCGAGGTCGAGGCTGGCGCCGGCGTCGGCGCCGGGGCGGCGCGAGACGTGAAGGCGCGACGTGACCGTCGTGGCGCGCGACTCGGCCGTCTCGCCGTCGTGCAGTGAGAAGTCGAGCTCAATTTCGCTGATGGCGTAAGGCGTCGGCGCATAATCCTTGCGGAACTTCTCGACGGGCGCGGCTTGGTCGCTGGCGGAAGACATGAGGACGGAACCGCCGCGGAGGTTGAGGTTCGCTGGCGCGCGGAGGGGCACCCGGAGTCCGAGGATCCCGGGAAGAGCGCACGCGAGGCCGAGAAGCTTGCCTCGGCGTATCCAGCTCATGTCTCACAAAAAAGAAAAACCGCGCCAGAGTGAGTACAGGCCTCCGGCTGTTTGCGGCGGGCGGCTTGCTGCTCGCGGCGATGGCGAAAAACTCGTCTCGCCACACGCCAAGGGCTTATGCTCTGGCGAGACGTGAGGCGCATGCGCCCAGGAGGGGAGGGGGCATGTGTAACGACACTGCTAGAGATGCCTTTCGGGGCCAGAGGTCCTCAGCAATTCATGCTGATGAGTTATATTAGAGGCAATATGTACATTAACCATCCGTTTGACATCAACAACGGGCTACAACGCACATCAACGCTTTTTGTATTTTTTATGCATAATTACAACAACAAAAACGTGAACAGCGCTCCAGGCCCCAAATGACGTGTGAGTGTTAGAGTTGTTTGGTATTGCTAAAAATCTCATAATTAGGCGGCACACTCTCACGCTCACATGTACATGTAGAAGGGGCGCCATCTGAGGCTGTGGCATCGCGAGAGAGATCTAATACAGGTATGGGCCACCGGCGAGAGTCCTGTATTAGATCTAGAGGTCCTGTATTTAGATCTCTCTTCCAGGTCCTCACACGCTGACTCTAGTGAGGACCTCTACTGGTGAGGACCTCTTGGCTGATGGCCTCTCTACGAGATCCACAAGTAAGGACGCGTATAAGTACAAGTCTAGCGAGGAGACCGACAATATCTTGACTGAGCACCACCGATGAATCGGCAGCCCCGCACCGCACCTACACAGGTTTTGTATTTGTCCCATTTGTACTTTGGAATGTACTGTTTTGCATAAAATTTGGCTTAAAACGTGGGGCGCCATCCCAGGAGGCTGTGGCTTCGCAAGCAGCGCCTTGCCTCTTTAATATGGGCCACCGGCACCGTGCCGGTGAGACCTACAAGCTCTTCCAGCAGCAGCATTTGCGCAGCCTGATCCATGGCGCCTGTCAGTGTATGTGAGGACCTCTAGTGAGGACCTCTACTGGGCTGAGGACCTCTTGGCTGAGGGCCTCTCTGAGGAAGCTGCCTGTCAACAGGAGGGATATAAGATAGAAAATGGACACGCCAAGCTAGGTCGATTAAAGGACGACCTGAGACCGCCAATGGGTCGCAACTGCTGGCCTGCTGCCGGAAGGATACGAGCTATCTCACCGGTAGCCCCTATCCGTAGAGAGGCCACTGCACTCTAGAGGTCAGCCGGGTGGTGGCCGCCCAGACTCTACGAGCGGTCAGCCAATTCATGGACAAGAGGGGTCAGCCAATTCAAGTTACGTTACAATAGAGGCAAGATGTGCATTAAAGAAAGAAAGTAGACTCTAAAAGAAAGAAGTGCGAGAAACTTGGCTGACGATGAGAAACGTATGGCTGTGAAATGGATCGGGTTGTTGCTGGCACCTTTGTCCTGGGCTGGTGTGAAGGGAGCTGTATTCTGAGAGGTGTGCTGTGAAGCCGCCTCGGATCACCTCTCTAGGTGCACTTGGAGCACTTGGAAACCGTGCTCCTAGACCAGATCGGCCTCATCAACGCACACACTTCCCTCGACCACTTTGTTCCTTTGTGATAATGTAAGCCAAGATGAATTGAACATCGATCGATCGCAGCGACGGCCTTGCTTGCCCCGAGGCTCCGCCTTTTGCCCGCGGCCGCCGCCCCCCGCGCGGTTGCGCGAGGTCCCTGTGGTATGGCTATCAAATTGCGTGCACGTCGGTGTGTAGAGGCTGCGAGACTGAGCTTGGGAGGTTCGGGATGAGAGAGGTCCTCACAGTGAGGTCCTCACAGTGAGGTCCTCACAGTGAGGTCCTCACGAAGAGGTCCTCACTCGAGCGAGAGGTCCTCACGATGAGGTCCTCACTCTCCCAGCCAGGCGCAGGGTGGGCGCGACGTCACGGGCGTAACGCCACACGCAACGCGCGGACATCGCACGGGTAGGGACGGCAGCGAACGAATCAGCGTTGATATTAGGCCGCGCCTTTGTTTGGCTGAGCATGAGAGAGAGCCAGATGGGTGGGATGATCCGGATCATGAGAGAGGAGAGTCAGTGATATGATAGGCTAAACTTAGTAGTGCGAGGGCGGAAGTGAACTACTATTCAGTGAGTAATGAGGCGAAGAATAGATGGTTCACAAAAGAAACGCAGATGGTTCACAAAAGAAACGCACATGCACAGTTGTGAGTGAGTGAGTGAGTCACACGCACACACGTACAGTTGTATGGTCTATTCCACCGCTGTTTATACTCGTTTATTCACGAGGGACCCCAGGGAACCTAGGTTTCCTAGGGGCGTGCTGTGAATAAACAGCGAAGAAGACGCCTGGGTCTATTCGCGGCAGAGGGGGGGATGACACGCTTCGAAGGCTTTGCTTGAGCGCTTCGAGGTCCGCTCGCCACCGCTCCCCGCCCTCACACGCTGCCACAGCGCCACGTGTGTCCGCAGCGTCGCCCATGCCGCGTGCCTCACCGGTCGGTCGGCCGATGCCGCCGCCCGGCCACGGGCCAAGCCGCGACGCTGCATTTCGCCGCCTGTCGTAGTGGCGCTTCCGCCTGTGCATCCACTAAGCGCGTTTTGCACCCCGGCGCAGGACCGTCGACCGCCGCATGTCGAATAACGAGCGGCAGAGGCTCGACCTTCTGCCCGCCGCCGGCAATCGCGTCGTGATCAGCCTATCCCCGGCGTCGTCGATCCCGCCGTCGACTCGCAAGATGGACGGCCGTGTCGAGTTGAGGCCCGAGCCGGCGCGTGTGCATTCCGTAGCACAATACACTCCTATTCGTCTCGCCATCCGCCACTGGGCGTGGCGGGTTCCTCGTGCAAATCATACAAGCTACCCGTGTCATGTAGGCGTGCGGCAGAAAGCCTCAAAGGCCCTCCGCCTCGGTTGAGCGTGTCGTCAGTGAATCGCGTGGCCCAGGAGGCCCGCACCGCCTCGCGCTCCCGCCCTGCAGCGCCCCGACCCCTCCATGACCGCCCCCGAAAGCGAAGCCCGCGCCCTCCGCGGCCACCCAACCGATTCTGACTCCGAGCCCAGGTCCTAGGCGGCCCGCCATGAAATCTAGCCGTGTGTGCTGGCGTCCGGGTCCCAGCGGGTTTCCACGTAACAAGTACACACCCCCTCGGTGTACTTGTTCTGAGCTAGCCTTCGATGTTATGAAAACAAACGCAAGGCGGAAATGGCATATCGCTCAGCTGATATCGCTCTGGCTAGTTCCATTTCACTCTGACACGCTAATCTTGAAAACGTCCAACGGAGCTCCGTGTTGCTCCCAGCGCCCTCCCCCGCGCTTCCTGCGGCCATGGCCGATGATACTAGTATGAGAGGTCATCTGGCTACCGCGAGCGCGACTCAACTCGCCGACGTCGTCCGATGATTGTGCCTCAAAGTCAGCCTCCGGAGGCTATCGTGGGGTCGAGCCGGCAGTAGCCGTGACATGTGGTTCCACCACCCCTCGTAGGCTTTGCCTCTGACCGCCACCGTTCCCAGGCTGCCAAATGGGATGGAAAGGAAGGCTCGGCGAGCGTATAGAAGCGTTCTCGACCTCGTCGTGGCAACCTGCACGGCAGCGCTGGTAGGCGCGATGAGCGTCGTGCCACCTGACCCGAGACGGGTCGCAGGCGTCGTACCGAGCGCGTCGAGACCGTGTCCTGATGTGATCTGCACGGGTGAGTCACGTCGGCGTCAAAGGAGCGACGTGCGACCTGTCAGAGCTTGATCTCCGATCTCAGCGGCGGTA